ATCATCTATCTATCTATCAAGAGAAAGGGCACACTAGCTCTGGTGGCAGTTGAGTAAGTGTTTGATAGCTAACCACAAGGTCTGTGATTGAAATTCACCATCTACTCAACAGGAAAAAGACAAGACTTGCTGTCCTATTTCCTATAAAGATTTATAGTCTTAGACCCCCTATGTCTGAGTGGAGTTGATGGTAATGTTTCTTTTTTTGTTTTGTTTTATGTATATCTCAAGACATATAATCAAAACATATATATGTGTGTATATTCTAAATATGTGTGCATATAATGAAAGCATATATATGTGCATGTGGGTTTTAAGAAAATGAAGTTTATATTTTGCACGTTGTTATATAACTTTCTGTCTTAACTATATTTGGTGGAAAAAATTTTTTAACACAATGGAAAACCCTGCTGTTAAAATATCTTTAGTGCCCAATTGTATTCTATTGAACATTTGATGAGTAGTTGGGTGGCTTAGAGATTCACCATTTAAATCAACACTATAATGACCACCCTGGGACTTAACACCTTTAGAATATATTCTAGAAATGGAATCATTAGGTCAGAGGGCATGAAACATGTTTAATCCTAAGGAATAATTCTAAATTACCCACCAAGATAAGTTCTTCAAATTTTGCTTTGAGTGGAGGCTTTATGGATAAGGAATTTCTTTGTCATGGGTAGAGGTCACAAGACCTAGTAGGAGCCAGGAAACCTATCACCCTGGGCAGGAAAGAGAACTACTACTGGTTTCTCAGAAGAGCAGCTGTGGTTGAATCATCTGTTGGTGTTAGCAAATGAAAGTGAAGCCTTTCACAATGAGCCAAAACGTACATTTTTAAGTCAGATATGCCTAGGTTTAAATCTTAACCTCACCTTTTAACAGCTGTGGGGTATTTGGGAAATTACTGGGTATTTCTACGCCTCGGGGCTTTGGTCTAAGTCATCAGCTATCTCAGTGAGTTGTGTTGTTTAAATGAGATACAAACATAATAAATATACATGTGATATACAGGTAAGCCTAATTGTGTCACCCCTGCCACAGAGTAAAAAAAACAAATATTAGGTGTAATTATAATTATTTGCTGGAATACAAACCTGTGGTCCCAACTGAATGTTTTACTTCAGTGTTTTTCTCTCAAGTTCTCATTCCTCACAGAGAACAATGACTAGAAAACACTGGTAGAGTAAATACTGCATTACCATAATTACAATTTCCCTGAGAAAAGTGGCTTGCAGTTTGAATATTCAGCATCATGATTACAATTTCCATAAGGAATGTAGAGCAGATATTATAAACAGCACAATAATCGTATGGTCCGTAAGGGAGAAGAGATTACTGGGAAAGCAAGGAGTAGAAGAAGCAAACCCTTGTCTTCTAATCAGCATTCAAGAGCAGGAATACAGAACAGGAGAATTACTTGCGTATACCCTTAACACTTTCTCGCCTGAATATCTGAAATAACCTTATGATGACAGGCTTCCTTTGGTTGATTAAATGCTGTATATATGTGTGTGTGTATGTGTATGTATTTGTATACATACATACACGTACACACATATATGTAACTTTGGTGTTTAGAGTTATCAATGCTATTAAGCATCCTCTCTGTATCTATTCATCATCACTCTGCAGTTGATGTGATCCCAAGAAATTTTAAAGCAAATTAGCACAAATTACAAAAAGACAAAATATCTTAAAAACAATTGAGAGGGGAAAAAATCACAGTATTTCTCTGTACTGCTAAATACTTCTCCTTTATCCAAAGGAAAATAGATAAAAGTAATTTAAAAATTGTAAACTTAATGCTTATGTCATTTAAATTGGTTTTACATTGCCTTTTTCTGTCTTTTTAAAACATTTTTAGGTGAAGTCAGCAAAACAGAATGCAGCTTTCAAGGTCAGTATTTTTCATGATGCTTAAAGACCGGTACATTAA